CTGGGTTTCAAACACACCATATGTTTGGCAAAGAAGCAGCAGGAGAAGCAGCCCTGAAGGGCTGAAGAAAGAAATTTAGTATACTTCCCAAGCCAGTGGCACATCTGGTACTAAAAAACTACAGCAGCTCCCTTGAATTTAGGCAGTCTGGGTCAGAACAACCCCCAAGACCCTGTTACACAGCCAGCTGGGATATAAACAGGGTCTTATGATGTTTGAGTCATGTGTGGCAGCTGACGCTCCTGCCTTCAGGCCGAGAAGGAGCAGGGCCACTGGGTTAAGATCTGACCTGCGCTGGAGGATTCAGCTGCTTTTGGCCTTCGGTTTCTTTGTCAGCAGTTCAACCACAGAGGGACCAGCTGGCAGCTTCCGTTTGCCACCTAATGAGAGAGGAGAACAGCCAGGTGATTTGACTGAGGAGGGCAGGAGTGTCCTACCTTCCCCACTCACAGACACTGCACTTGTGCACCAAGTGCTGTGGATAGAGTGACTCAGAGCATGAGTCGCTCAGAAAGGTCTGGCAACCCTCAGCTGGTAGGAAGAGCCATGCAGTAATGTAATGACATGTTGATTTTTAAGGGTGCTTTTCATTCCTGTCTCAAAGCACTTCACAGAGTAGGCAGGTATCTCTGGGGAACCTGGGCCCAGTGCAGGACTGTGACTAACCTGATGTGGCCCCTCCCCCACAAGGGCAGAGTGAAGCAAGGTTAATAAATCTTAGGGCTTCCTTGTCACAGGCTGATACTGTCTCAACCAGGCTACAAAGCTCCACCCAGGCACAGTTGTCCCTGCTTCCCATCCCCTTGCATTTCATGCATCAACCTTAGATACCCCAGGCTCCAAAACAGTTCAGTGGGAGCATGATTACCTTTCTTGGTACCCTCTTTCTCCACCTGGGCAGCTTTGCTGTGTGACCGCTGGGCATACGCTGCCTTCATGCGCATGATGTTTCTCTTGCTCACAGCCTCATGCTCCACGATAGGTCTGGGGTAGTCTCTGCCAATGATGCAGCCTGCCTGCTCCTGCATGCTTCTTGGTGCCTTCCAGGGCTCATAGATGTACTCAGCAGGGAACTTCCTGAGGATGGGGAGGTATTTCCTGTGCAACAACCAAGCCCCAGGGAAAAGAAATCAGCAACCACTCAAGAAACAAGCCAACAAGGGAATACAGTGGTCTCCTGACAGACCTAGTGGACCCACAGGGTAGGATCAGCAACTACAGCAGCTGCTTTCAATACTGTATGACCCAACTTCACGAGGAGTCCTGGTGGTGGACAGTCTCCTTGATCCACCCACTTTTTAGCCCCTCAGCTGCCAGCCAGGAGGCAATCTGACCACAGCAGCTAAAAAAAGGACAAAAGTTCCCAAATTCTGAGGCTACCCAAGAGCTATTGATTGGTGGTGACTAGCTATCACCACCAAGCTGAGTTAGCCTGGGGCCAAGAGCTGAGAGGAGCAAGCATCCTCTCCCATCACTAGTTCCTTTGGATGGACAGAGTCCTCCAAGCCACACAGTCCTGTGAACTCTTTGCAATGGGTGTTCCAGCCAAACACCACCAAGCAAGCACTCACAGGCTGCAGCAGATACCCACATCTCCCCCAGGGCAGGCTGGGCTCAGACCTGGCCTCTGCTTAAACCTACTTAATATACGCTCCACTCTTGTCTGTCTTCTTGCCAAAGGCAACGGGTGAGTAGACACGAAAGAACTGGTGGAAAAAGGCACTCGCCGACAGCCATTGCCAGTTGCCAGCATTCAGGGACCAGTCAGCATCCAGCAGCAGCTCCTCAAAGACCTGAAATGGGAAGTGTGGAGGGAGTGCGAAAGGGCTAGAGGCCTCTGTACCTCCCCCACACCCCAAAGCACACCACTCCCCTTTACCCTGGGCTCCACTGGTTACCAGCCTAAACATCACCTTGGCCCATAGCTGTTGGGCTGTGGGCACCAAAGCAGGGGAAAGGTGTTACCCTCAGGCAGCAGGTCCCTAGGAGGTCACTGCTGTCAGCCTGCAGGCTGGTCTTGCTGTCCATGCCCTGCAGTAGGCAGGCAGAAAAGGGAGGACAGGAACAAGAGACGGTCAGAGAGATCTCGATGAAATCAAGCCAACCAGCTCTGCCAGTTCCTTCATCCCAGGGAGGATGCAAGAACTGGCAGAGGAGATCTTAGAGCTCTTAGCAATGTTCTTCATGAAGTTGTGGGAGATGGGCCAGGTACCAGAGGACTGGAAAAGGACAACAAAGTGCCCCTCTTTTGAGAAAAAAAAAAGGCAAAAAGGGGGATCTGAGGAACTACAGACTAGTTAACCTCACCTCAATACCTGGGAAGTGACTGGAGTATATCCTAAGGAAGGCCATTTGCAAACCTCTGGAAGATGAAAAGCCAAACACAAGCAGCCAGCATGGATTTATGAAAAACAAATTACATCAAGCAAACCTGATCTCCTTTGACAAAGTAACTACTTGGATGAAGGAAATGGATACAGTGTATTTGGACTTCAGCAAGGCTTTTGACAAAGTTCCTCACAACCTCCTGGTAAAACCGTTGGAGAAATGTGTACTAGATGAAACTCCTACAAGGTGGATAGATAACGGGTTCAGTAGCCACAAGCAAAGGATAATGATTAACGGGTCCATGTCAGAATGGCAGGAGATTCCGAGTGGAGCGGCACAGGGGCCTGTCCTGGGCTCAGTGCTGTTCAACATGTTTATGACTGAACAGTGGATGTGGGCATAGAAAGCTTCTTGAGCAAGTTTGCAGACAACACAAAACTTGGAAGAATTATGAACATATTGGATGATGCAAGTGCAATTCAGAAGGATCTCAACAGACTGGAAGATTAGGCTAGAGCTAACAGAATGAAGTTCAATGTGGACAAACTCAAACTGCTATACCTTGGAAAGAATGATCAAAAACACAAATATAAAATGGGGGACACCTGGCTGGATGACAGCTTGATGGAAAAGGACTTGAGAGTCTTTATAGATCACAGATTCAATGAGTCTACAGTGTGATGTAGCCACACAAAATGTGAATGCAGATTTAGACTGCATCAATAGAAGCATTAGGTGCAAGACATGGGAGGTGATACTCCTCTCTAGTTGGCACTGGTTAGGCCTCATTTGGAGTACTATGTACAGTTCTAGGCTCCACATTTTAAAAAACACATGGAGAAGTTAGAGAGGGTCCAGAGCCAGGCAACAAAGATGATCAAGGGCTCAGAAGGCAAGTCATATGAAGAGAGGTTGAAGGAGCTAGGTATGATTAGCTTGTCAAAAAGGTGCTTAAGAGGGGACATGATAGCAATCTTCAAATACTTAAAGTGCTGTCATAAAGAAGAGGGGAAACACCTTTTCTCTCTTGCTGCAGCTCATAGGCTGGAAGCTGCAACAAAGTTTAGATTAGACATCTGGGAAAACTTCTTCAGTGTTAGAGCAGTAAGGCAGCAGAACAGACTGTCTAGGGTAGCTGTGGGCTCTCCATCACTGGAGGTTCCAGAAAAGGTTGGCAATGATCTAAGCATAGCTATGCCTATGTTCTTCTATGGGTATTTCCCATAAATTCTGAGCCTTGCTGGTTGTCCCCACTCCCCACCCCCCACCCCGCTTTTCTGTTACATGCATCAGGGTGTTTTTAAGCCTCACCAGAGGCACTGGGTGTTGGCTACAGCCAAAGCGGGGGACTTTGACTGGGGCATGCCAATGCTCCTGCTGGGAACAAAGCCAGAGGTTCCTGGCTGGAGGGTCTTGCCCTTCCACTCAGGGTCAGACTGATCACCAGATTTGGGGGCAGGAAGAAATGTTAACTCATGGTCAGATTGGTCTGGACTGTGGAGGGTTTTGCCTTCCTCTGTAGCATGGGACATGGCCTTCTACCTGGGATCTCTTGAACATATATTGACATTTCATAGAAGCAAGATACTGGCTGCTATGGTTCCCTGCTTTAACAGTGGCAGGTTAGGATGTTAGGTCTGTGCTGCATCAGGGTTGAGGGTAGTCTTGTGCAGAGTTTACATGATAGCTTGTACAGGATGGTTTGGATAGGGATGATCCTGGCTCAGGCAGGGGGTTAGACTAGATCAGGGTTAGGCATTCTCGGGTACAAGTGCCAGAGCATGGCATGAGAAGGCATTTTGCTAGGCACTCATGCCTTGGAGAAGGGGCTGGAGCTGGGCTGCTCCAGCAAGGATTAGGCCCCTCATGGCTTCTCCACCATCTGCCTCTGGCATGCCAGCATCTTAGAAGTCAATGTTGTATTTTGGCACTCTACCCAAAAGCATTGCTGGCCCCTGGGCTAGATGGATCTCTGGAGGCCCCTTCCAGCCCTACTTCTCTTCAATTCTAGGATTCTATGAAAGCAGGAAATTCCTTTCCTACTGACTAGTACTGGCATAGGCCAGTGCATGCAGCCAGGAATTGCCTTCAAATTAGCATCTCTCTGAAACTACAAGAAACTCCAGGGACTGGGAAAAGAAGTCTCAGCTTTGGAAGAGTAAAGACAGCCCTGTGAGTGATATAAAATACCACAGATATGGGTGCCCTATTACTGTAGTTAGGGAACAGCCACTTCAGAGTGCAGGCAAAGTAGG